GCGTCTTTTATCGAGGCTTTCCAGAGACAAGTCCCTACTTGGGAGCGGCTACGTATGCTGTGTTTTTGGSAAATTGTAGTCGGTGAGTTTACTATTTTATACTACTTCTGTGATATTACTACTACTTCTACTTCCTGTTATCTTCTTCATCGTCGTCTTTTTCACCAGTAGAAACAGCCGGTTGGTGATCACGTAACTCCCGTGAAGCGAAAAAAATTGTTTCCATTGCAGTTTTGGGAAAAACATCAATTTCGATACGGCCGAAATACCACCTCATCCTAGCGCAAAAACATGTTGTCGAAAAGCGTAATTTTTTTTCGAAATTGATGTGTTTCCATTGAGCAAATTTATTTTCGAAATTCTAATTTGCGCATTTTCATGGTCGATGGAAACGCAGCTTGTGACATGCATCTCACTCTAATACAAAAAGTCAAAGAAAACATCTTTATATTTAAGAAACTTGGCATATTACACAATTTTACCCGTTTTGTCACAAATCTGGCAGATTTTCTTCAGAATTTGGCTCAGCCAAAGTGAAACAGGAAGTGACATCAAAGGGGAAACTTTAAGAAATTTGATTGTTTTACTTTTTTATTGTAACAATATTATTTGAAGTCTGACTCTTCATCTCTTTGATAGAAACTCAAAATAATCTACAGAAACATCAGATTCTTCTCTACAGTCTGTCTTGTTAGCCTTGTAGCATCACTTTGTTTACATGCAGACATTCCCCTTTGACATCACTTCCTGTTACTTCACATGCAAATATCTCAACAACTGTTCATCTCAGCGGTGTAAAATTATTTTAACAACATGTTATCAATGTTGTCTTTCCAAAAATGCATTTATGTTTATTGTAAAAATTAATGTCAGAGGCCCTTTAAAGTAGAGTTAACCCCGTGTGTTCCAGATTCAGCACATGTACCGCTGTGCACGAGTTCAGGGTCTGGACACCAGCGAGGGTCTCCTGCTGTTCGGGAAGGAGCACTTCTACGTCATCGACGGCTACACCATGACCGTGTCCAGAGAGATCCGAGACATCGACACGCTGCCGCCCAAGTAGGTCCAGGCCACGCCGCCTCCACCCGGACGCTCCGCTGTTTGTCGCCTCTGTTTTTAAAGGATGACATCATCCCTCTGGACGCTGCAGTGGGATGATGTCATGGTGCTGCCGGAGCGAAGCTTTTCACACGTTTGTTTTAGGAAGCTCGCTCTGCTCGCTGCTTCGGGACACACGTGGAAAACAGCCAAAAATAAAAACCAGCCGATGGTTTTAGTCGTTCCCCTCAGCAGCTCTGTAGGATCCACACAATCCAAAACCGCCTGAGCATTTAAATGTTTTCAGCCTCTTTAACTGTTTACTTTTATGAACAAATCTCTTTGTGCCTTTGGTCCAGTTTGCATGAAGCCATCATCCCCAGAGGAGCGCGACAGGGCCAGAGCCAGCTGAAGAGGACCTGCAGCATCTTCGCCTACGAAGACATTAAGGAGGTTCATAAGAGGCGCTACCTGCTGCAGGTCAGCTGCACACAAACACACACATACATACTCAGGCTTTTAAAATCAATCATCTGTCATGTTTGGACTCAATTCACAGGTTCTCACTGTAAATAAAAACGTGTTTTTAACTGACTAACCTGGTTAAATAAAGGTCAAATAAATAAAATAGATTTTCTGCTCGACTTTAAAGTTCCTGTGACGCGCCTATCCTTCAAATACAAAAAGCTGAAAGCATGCTTAATAAAATTAGCATAGTACACATGATTTTACCCATTTTGTCCCATAACTGGTATATTTTATTTTGAATTTGGCTCAGCCAAAATGAAACAGGAAGTGACATCAAAGGTGAATTCATTAGTAAAATAAACTCTCTGTTTTTTCAATTATTTACACTTTAACTCTTCTTCATCTGTCTTTGATAGCGACTAAAACTAATCTAAAGGAACTTCAGATTCTTCTCCACAGTCTGGGTTTGTTGGCTGATGTAACAACACTCTGTTTACATGCAGATATTCCCCTTTGACATCACTTCCTGTTACTTTACATGCAAATATCTCAACAACTGTTCATCTCAGCGACATGAAATTTGTTTTGTAATATTTTATTGATGTTATCCTTCCAAAAATGCGTTAATGTTTATTACAAAAATCTGACGTCACAGACCCTTTAAAAGGCTTTATTTTAGCTGCTGTTTGGACAGAAATGACAGCTTAAAACACACCTTCCTATGAGCTCAGATGTTTGCACCTGTTGCATGTTTTTTGTCTTCTTTCAGCCGATGGCGGTGGAGGTTTTCTCTGCTGATGGAAGGAACTACCTGTTAGCCTTTCAGAAGGGAGTTCGCAATAAAGTTTACCAAAGGTACCAAATGAATTCCTGCTTCTTTTAAACTGCGGCAGCTTGAGGAATGAACATTTTCTGTGATATTTCAGTGAACGCTGAAGCTAAAACCGAGGTGTTAAAGCTAACGGAAGTGGAGCACTAGCTCAGAGAAATTATATGTAGCTAAAGGCTAGCTTAAAGTGCTTCTATGAATCAATAAAAACACTTTAAGAAAAAAATGATGAATGCTTTTACATTTCTGTATTGATAATGAGCAGATTGGTGAAATTTTATTGTGTAATTTTAGTTAAAGGGCAGGTTTTTACTCGTTTACAGTAAGTAATGTAAGAGTGTATGTTTGTGAATTAATGATGAAATTTGTTAAATTGGATCGATGGATTGAAAGTAGGAAGAAAATCCATGATTTGGTTCAGTTTGATACTTCAGTGCCACAGTTTGATAAAACTCCATGCCCTTCTTAACTTGTAGTTTAGCGAAATTAATTATGAACATTTATTTAACTTCAAAAGTCCAGTTTTTAAATTAAATGTTGCTGAAAAGGCAAGTTTCTCAGTGGATCTGTGCTCCAAAAAGCAGCCTAGGTGGAGTAGTCGAACACAGATTTACTGATCCTTCAACACAGAGCATCTTCAGAAGACAAGCTGGTAAAATAAATGTTAGAAATCTGTGTTGATTCATAAAGAGATGCTGTGTTGTTGCGTCCCTTATTGAAAGTAGCTAAAAGTGTCTTAAGAAGAAAAACAGTCAGTTTGCTGAATCAGTTGAGTTAGATTGAAAACAAAGATTTAATAATAAAAATGAATGAACTGATCACTGTAAATCCCTGGTTTGTTGTAAACCTGTTGGTTTGTTTTTTTACGTAAAGAATGTAAACGTGTTCTTGCTGCAGGTTCTTGGCGGTGGTTCCCTCGCTGGCCGACAGCTCCGAGTCAGTTTCAGGTCAGAGGCCCAACACCAGCGTGGAGCAAGGGTAAGCCTTCACCTTCTGAGCTCTGGGATCATTTCAGAGGAGCATGAAGCTGTTAAAGTTCATTAACGAGGGGTTTTATCACCGTCTGTGTTCTGTTCTCCAGATCGGGTCTTCTCAGCACTCTTGTTGGTGAGAGGTCTGTGACTCAGAGGTGGGAGGTAGGAGCTGTAGTATTTCCTGACCATCATGTTGCAGCAGCAGCGGTGCTGTATGTTCTGATCCGGTGTGTTTTGCTGCGCTGCAGAGAGGAGAGATCAGTAACTTCCAGTACCTGATGCACCTGAACACGCTGGCCGGACGCTCCTACAACGACCTGATGCAGTACCCCGTCTTCCCCTGGATCCTGGCCGACTACGACTCGGAGGTGCCGCAGGGCTTCTGTTCTCTGGTTCTCCCATCAGAACAGCAGCAAGAAAAACTCAAATACTTTTTGTTTAAATCAGGAGCTGGACCTGAACAACCCCAAGACATTCCGGAACCTCACCAAGCCGATGGGCGCCCAGACGGACGACCGGCTCACCCAGTACAAGAAGAGGTACAAGGACTGGGAAGACCCCAACGGTGAGCTGAGAGAGGACTGAGGAGCTTTAACTCATGAAGGCTGTGTTTTAGAGGTTTGTGTTGATTTTGTTTGTTCCTCTCAGGTGAAACCCCTGCGTACCACTATGGCACCCACTACTCCTCCGCCATGATCGTCGCCTCGTATTTGGTCCGAATGGAGCCGTTCACACAGATTTTCCTCCGACTTCAGGTTTGATTCACAGTCATGAACTCCTACTTTATTGATTGATTGATTGATTGATTGATTGATTGATTGATTGATTGATTGATTGATTGATTGGTCTGGACTGGTCAACAGGTTTACGAGAGACTGTGTTTGTCTGTTTAAGCCACTAAAATCAGGATCAACATTTGTGTTTTTTCAGTAGATTTTAGATAAAAAAATAAAAAACCTGTTTGATTTTGCTGGGCGTGACGCAGCTACTACCACACCGAAGTTTAACTCAGTTTTTGTAGAGATTGATCTACATCCAATGGATGATTTCATAGTTAGAAATACTTAAAGTAGCTGCGTTTCCATTGCAAATGTGCGCAAAACTTTGTCGATATTCTGTTAATGTCGAAAAACAGTTTCACAACTGCGGTGTTTCCATTAAGTAAGAAATGCTATTAAAGTCGTGCGTGAATACGTTTGTTCTCGTGATAAGTCATTACAAACATGGCGGTCATGGATGTAAACACATAGCATGTTGCTACCACGACACTAGCGTTCATCATCAGAGGAGACGTCGGCGTCTTTTATCGAGGCTTTCCAGAGACAAGTCCCTACTTGGGAGCGGCTACGTATGCTGTGTTTTTGGCAAATTGTAGTCGATGAGTTTACTATTTTATACTACTTCTGTGATATTACTACTACTTCTACTTCCTACACACCTACTACGGGGGCGGCTGTGGCGGAGTGGTTAGGGGAGTCGTCTTGGTACCAGAAGGTCGCCGGCTCGATTCCCCGTCCGGTCGACTCAGTCGTTGCGTCCTTGGACAAGACACTTCACCCACCTTGCCTACTGATGGTGGTCAGAGGGTCCGGTGGCGCTGGTGC